CGGCTTCCGGTGTGCTAGTGAACTGGTTAACTGGGCACTGGCATAGACAGCCTGAGTTTCTCATCCTGGTTCACGTGCTTACCAGCTGTGTGATATTGGGTGAGTCACCTAATCATTCAGAACCTCAGTTTCCTCATCTGTAAAGTGGGGAGAACAATAGCACTGACCATAGGTTACTGTGAGGATTAGACAGGGGAGGGAGCAGAGCAGTTAGCACAGGGCCTGAACGTGAATTACGATCAAACTAGGCCTAACTTGCCCAGGCCCTGCCCCGTGTTTTTGACATTCTGGGCTTCCAGATGGCGTGCCTCTTTCACTGGGTACTCTTCTGTGGCATTTGTTTCTGGACAGAGGTATTGAGAATGAAGATAACCTGAGCCTGCAGTCATCGTCTTTGGTGACAGTGGCAATTGTTCCGCCCAGGAAAGAAAGAAAGAGAGAGAGAGAGACAAGGAGGGAGGGAACAGAAAGAAACGCACCATGTTGGGGAGAGAGTCTGCAGAAGAAACGAACAAGCTTTTCTCCTGCTTTTGGGACAAGAGGTGGCCCACATTTTCATTCTGCCCTGGGCCATGCAAAACATATAGCTGGCTGGCTCCATTGGATGGTGCCTGAATCTCAGAAGTGACAGTGTTGAGCCACTGTTGGGGGCACCAGTTAGGACAGGCTTTCAGGGGAGAGGCATAGTTTGGGGTCTTACAAATATGCAGTCCTTCAGAGCCAGCAATTCCCCTTCACTGTCAGAGATGTGCACATGGATGTGTGTGCAAGGATGTTCACCATGGCATGATTCATAATAGAGACGCCAGATGGATGCCCAACAATGCGGGGAGGTCAAGGGCACAATCCATGCTGAAGGATCAGGCACAGCCATTAAACATCGTATCATAGATGAGGACTTACTGACATGTGAAAAACTCATGACATTTGCAAAATGGGGAAAAAGTCAGCTAAAAAGGAGTGTGCACCACAGGATCTCATTTGCATAGACATGCAGGGAATACATGCAGGAGAAAAATATTGAGCTGGTTTATCCTTAAATGCCAACAGCTGTTCTCCTCAGGTGGGTGATACTTTCCTCTTCTGGGCCTGTTTTCCAGCTGTCTGCACTGAGCACACATTACTGTCATCAGTGCACTGAGGTACTGTGGGGCAGTGGCCAAGGCTAGGGCTGCAGACACTGGAGGCAGACTCCCTGGGTTCAAAGCCTAGCTCTGCTCCTTACGAGTTCTGGGACCTTGAGCAAGGGATTTAACTTCTCCGGGACTCAGCTTCCCCATCTGCAAACAGGGAAGGTAGTGATACCTTCCTTAAAGGTCAAGGTATTAACTCACCACGATAAGGTCATCGCTGATTGACTTGTTTGACTCTCTTCCTAAAAACCCTGAAAAGTATCTTCTTAATATCCCTGGCACCTACCACAGTGCCGAGCACACAGCAGGTGTTCCTGAAAAGTCTGCTGAATGAATGAAGGAGGGAATGTATGAATGCATGTAAGGACGGAGATCCACATCCCAGGGTACAGAGATAGTATCAAATGAGTTAATACATGCAGAGGGCTTAGAGCACTGTCTAGTTCATTATGGCAAAGAAATGATGTAAGAGGAAAATATCAAGAGAAAAATATGAACCAATTTTTTGAATGATGTAGAAATGAGTGTTTGTTTTGTTTTGTTTTTGAGACAAGGTCTTGCTCCGTCACCCAGGCTGGAGTACAGCGGCACAACCACAGCTCACTGCAGCCTTGACCTCGTGGGCTCAAGCAATCCTCCCACCTTAGCCTCCCAAGTAGCTGGGACTAAAGACGCATGCAGCCATAACTGGCTAATTTTTAATTTTTTTGTACAGACGAGGGTCTTGCTATGTTGCCCAGGATGGTCTCGAACTCCTGAACTCAAGTGATCCTTCTTCCTCCCAAAGTACTGGAATTACCGGCATGAGCCACTACACTCGGCTGTTTGAACTTCTCTGTATTGAGAGTAGTTAAGTAAAGTATGCATTACTTTTATAATTTGGGAGGACAAAAACGTTACTGAAAGAAAAAGAGTGAGAGGGTGATTCACAAAGTACCGTTGGGGAACGCAGGGTGAAGCCAAGTTAGCCGAGTCCACACCCTTTTCATGTCAAGGTCATGTGTGGATGAGCTTGTCTTGGGCGCTTACTCTGGCCCCCATACACCAGGTTGCACGTCTTCTCATTCATAATACACACAACACCCGGAAGGCCGATGTCAATGCTGAGTTATACGCTCTTAAAATATCTACAGCGAAATCTCTTGTTAGATAGATAACATAGATACCCATATATAGAGGTGCATGTATCTATTTATCTATGTAAGAGTTACAGGCTCTTAAAATACAGCTAAATCTCTTGTTAGATAGATAAAGAGATATGATAGATACCCATATATACAGGGGCATGTATCTGTTTATCTACCTGTATCTATCTATCAAGAGAATCTTTAACTCTAGCTGTAAAAACGAATGTGTACAACTCATGGTGCTCCATGTATCGCCCCAACACAGGACTCACCACGATAGGACCATCGCTGATTGACTTGTTTCCCTCTCTTCCTAAAAGCCCTGAAAGTTTCTTCTTTGTATCCCTTGCACCTACCACAGTGCCGGCCATACAGCATGTGTTCCCGAGAAGTCTGTTGGATGAATGAGAGGAGGTGCATGAATTCATGTCAGAACAGAGATCTACATGTCAGGGAACAGAGATAGAACAACGTGAGGATTAGCTTTGTCTGTGGTGGGGACAGGTCCAGGAAGGGTCAAAGATGGGCAAGTAAGGCTTGGAAGGGTGAATGTGTACAGTCCCTAAAGAAAAGGGGGGAGAGAGAGATGGGGGACAGCAATCCAGTGAGAACATCATTTAAAGGTCCTTGGCTCACACCTGTAATCCCAGCACTTTGGGAGTCTGAGGCAGGCAGATCACCTGAGGTCAGGAGTTTGAGACCATCCTGGCCAACATGATGAACCCCATCTCTACTAAAACTACAAAAATTAGCCAGGCGTGTGGTGGGTGCCTGTAACCCCAGCTACTCAGGAGGCTGAGGCAGGAGAATCACTTGAACCCAGGAAGTGGAGATTGCAGTGAGCTGAGATTGAGCCATTGCACTCCAGCCTGGGTGATAGAGAGACTCTGTCTCAAAAAATAAATAAATAAAATCAATAACTAAAAAACAAAGATCCTGTAAGTGGGCTGGGTGTGCTGGCTCACACATGTCATCCCAGCACTTTGGGAGACTGAGGGAGGAGGATCACTTGCGCCTAGGGGTTCAAGACCAGCTCGGACAACAAACTGAAACCCTGTCTCTATAAAAATCAAAGAAAAAAAAATAGCCGATTGTGGCAGCCGGCACCTGTGATCCCAGCTGCATGAGAGACTGAGGCAGGAGGATCACTTGAGCCTGGGAGGTGGAGGCTATAGTGAGTACTACACAAAAGAAATTGCTGATCCTTCAGCAGCCATTTCCCACTCCAGCAACTCCCCGCCCCTGGCAACCACTCATCTACTTTCTGTCTCTATGGATTGGCTTCTTCTGGATATTTCACATGCACGGAATCATGCAATGTGTGGTCTTTCGTGCGGGGCTTCTTTCTCTAAGTATTACATCCTCAAGGGTTATCTCGCTGTAGCATGAGCGAAGTGTGACGATAGATTGATCGATGAAGGTTACGTTCATTCATTCCACACGTATTTACTGAGCACCTACTGTGTGCCAGTCTGGGGGGTCCAGTCAGGAATAGAACTGACAGTAAACCCTGCCCTGGAGGGTTTCTGGTAGGAAGGAGAGACAATAAACCGAATAAACCAGTACATTCTTTGGAATATTAGACGCTGATAAGAGCTCAAGTGAAGCGTGGGGTTGGAAGTTGGGGTGGAGAGAAAGGGGGGATGTGACTTTAAGCAGAGTGGTCAGCAAAGGCCTCCCCGCAGGGTGGCCACAGGGACGCTCCAGCTCAGCCCGGAAGGAGGCGAGAGGCGCGGTGCCCGTCCCGGCGACTCCGGACCAGCAAGGAGGTCCCAGCGCACGCGTCAGTGCCTCGAGGCCCGGGACCCTGCGTGTCCCGTCCCCGCCGTGGCCCTGCGTCCGTAACGGTGGGTGGCACCAGGGCGCATTTCGCGCGGCGGGGCTGCGGCCTGCCCTTGAAGGGACGGAATCGGGCGTCGTGGTGGGGTAGACACCGGGGATCCCCGGAGCGCGGACGAGGAGGGCGTCCACCCCGCGAGCTCACCCCACGGACCCCGCGCCCCGCCCTCGGCCGCAGGCCCCGCCCCGCGCCGCCCGGCCCCGCCTCCCCGCGGCCGCCGCCATTGGCCACGCGCGCCGCCTCCGCCCTCGGCCTCGCACTTCCTGGCGGAGCCATGGCTGCGCAGCGGGCCGGCCTGGGGGATCCTGAACCCGGGCCCCGCAGCCCCGACCGCCCGGCCCCGCCGCCGGGCCTGTCCCCGCCGCGATCGTAGCGCGTCCTGCCAGGTGGGCCTACGCGCGCGCCCACCCTTCAGCCCGGGACCGCCGGGAAGCCGCGCCCGCCAGGGGCGGGGGGCGGGCGGAGATCGGAAGGGTCCCCGGCCCCAGCTAGCCGCGAGCCCCCTGCGCCCCTTGGTGCCCGGGGCGGGCGGGTGGGCGAGTGGGGCGCCGCGACTGGGGGAAGAGGCCAGGGGAGGGGCCGCCGCCCCCGCAGGTGACACAGGTGCGGCCTGTGCGTTCCGCCCCGCGCGTGGCAGGTGAGTGGCCCCCGCCCCGGGCGGTCCCGACTCCGCCTCCGCCTCCTCGCCTCCGGCTGGAGCCTGCCTGGGCGGCCGTTGCGCTGAGTTCCGCCTGGGCTGCGGGGTCCGAGTGAACGACAGCGGCGTCCCCGGAGACCCCGCGGGCGAGCCGGTGTCAGCAGCGTCGCTTTCTCCAACGCTGAGGTCGGGAGGGAGCTTGGGAAGGAGGCTCCCTGGGAGCCCCCCCGTCCGGACGGGGCCTGCGTTCCCATGTTTACTGGAAGACCTTTTCCAGTGACTTGGGATTGTCACTGTGTGTGTGGGTGGCCTTGACCCTTCACCTGCTTCCAAAAAGCGTCGGAGGCCGCTGACATCCAACACGCGTGGAAGTCAGCCCGCACCCCCACGCACTTGCAGGAGACAGCAGGGAGCCTCCGGCCCCGGGAACTCTCTAGGTATCTTGGCCTAGAAAAGAAAGCGTTGAGCGTTAGAGGGCCTGGCTGAGCCCGGGCAGGCTGCCTGGGGCGGTGGAGAGAGAGGCACCTGCTGCTTGCTGCTCTGTGACCTTGGGCAACCCCCCCCCCCCCGAGGCACCCGAGCGCCGGGTCTCACTGTGGGAACGACGGTGGCACCTGTCTCAAAGGGTGAAGGTGGAATGAAGTTGGGTCCGCGGTGGGCACTGCCCGAAAGCTAGGTTTCTTCTCTTCCCTCTCTGTGCTCTCCAGCATCCTAGGGGTAGTCAGGAGGGCCGGGAATGGGAACAGCTTGTCGTTGTCACAAAGTTTCTAGTTTGTCAAGAGGAATCTCGTTGTCCCTTCTCTCCCTAGGGGAGTTGCACAGGACGGACTGTGCCCGAATTCATTCCTTCCATGGGAACACTGGAGTGGCCTCCCTGTGTCCCCAATTATCTAAGAACAGTGCTGACTTCTTGTCACATTGTTCTTTATTAGTAAAGACAGTGTGTTCAATAGGTAACAAACTCTTCTCCTGAACTCAAATAGCAGGGGGGAAAATCCTCTTTAAAACCTTAGTCTCAGTGTGTGACTTGTACTAATATTAGTTGGCCAAGTCCCTTCTCTGTGTTCCCCTCCATCCTTGAAGCACTTGACCGCCCCCCCACACCCTCCCCCACCCCCGCTCCCGCCACACCAAAGCCTAACTCTGCCTGTAGTGATCCCCCCTCCAAGAGCCAGGCAGTGCAGCCTAAGAGTTAAGAGCATGGACTTTTCCCTGACCTGGAATCCCAATTCTGCCAGTTCCCAGCTGTGTGACACGGGGCAGGTTATTTCACCTCACTGCTGTCAGCATCCTCCAGTCACAGTGCTGGCCTCATGGGGTTGCAATGGGGACTAAGTGAAGCCACAGAGAAGCACTTGGGGACAGTGTGTCTAGAATGTACTGTGTACATGGTAGTCATCACTGTACCACATCCTCACCTGTATCATATTTTCAAAGTGTGATGCTCTCGAACCCCGGGCCTCATTCAGCATCGTGTCATGGTGATGGATCCAGGTTTTGAAGCTGGACAGACCCAGGTGTGATTCTCAGCCACTTACTAGCTTTGTGACCATGAGATCAGTATCCTCATGTGTGAAATGGGATAAGCGATATCAGCCTGGCCAAGTGTAATCTTTGTGGGGGTTAAATGAGATGGCACATGTAAGTCCCTTAGTTTGGTTCTAGGACTGTAGTCTGGGCTCCGAAATTATAACTTATCATTATAACCTCGGTGTAGCCAAAAGGTAATTATTTGTAGGAAGTGAACTAAATGACATGATGTCAGATTTTAGATGATAAAGGAATGCAAGTTAAATGTTCTGTCCAATTCTAACAACCCGATGAGCTCTCAACTCAGTGTAAAAGAGTTCTTTGTAGTGCACGGTCCTCCCTCCCTCCTTCCTCCGTGTGACTGTTTTCACTGTCGTCCTTGGTATCTGCTAGCAGAGCCTGAAATTAATGAATGAGCTAGAGTTATGACTGCATGCTCAGAAATCCTGTTCTTCTCCTAGGGCTGAGATCTCTGTAATGATGGAGGGAAGCAGGCAGACGCGAGTGTCTCGGCCATACAAGATCAGCGAATCATCCAAGGTCTGTGAATGTTCACTCACCGCCTGTGCAAATTGCCTAAGAAGTGTGATCCTTTTTCTGATTCACTCATTTCTAATCACAGACTGATTTTTTTGTCATTGGTGTTGTCAATCTCCTTAATGACAAGTAAAGGTGGAAATGGGCAAGGAGCGGAAATTGTCATAAAATCAGAGAGTGGGAAGTGTGAGGGATGTTAGAGACACTATGGCCAGACGTCTTCGTTTTTCAGTGTGACATCCCAGAGCTTTCTCTTTGTGACAACTTGACCCATTCATCAACCCAAGGAGGTGGATGGGACAGGAAGAAAACTGGGTTGGGGCTCAAAAACTCCAAGGATAGGTGCATTGAGAACTCAGCCTTCTATCTTAGGGTGAGGGCAACACATTGTGTACCCGTACCCCAAGGTCCTGGAGTCCCCTTCCCTGGTCATGATTCCCTGGAACCCAAGAGCAAGTGAGGGTGAGTTCCCCAGAGCCAGGCTGCTGGGGGAGTTCTAATTAGAAATACGTAGCCTGTTCCCATCTGCCACATTAAAATCCAAGAGCCAGACCCGGCTGCTATACTTTCCACAAACTCCTGTCCCCACAGCTGCTGTTGATAAAGATGGGGGGAGCCATTGGTTCGAGGTTCCTGGTAACCTGTCTCCTCGTTATAGATATTCGTAATGCCCTCAGTTCTTTAGAGGTGTCCCTTTTGGAGGTTGAATCTTATGGTTACCTCAGATCATGGATTCTCTTGAGTATGATATTGCCCTGAAGTGGCAGAAAATTGGTTCTTGGGAGGGTGGGAGGAATTTTACTCCTTTTGTGCATAAGACACAATTATACATACAGTACATGAGCAGACATACAGTGCATCTGTGATGGTAAAATTTTGCTGGGGAGGCTATGAGTGAAAAAAATCTTAAAAGCCTTCTTGGGGGGCAGTAATGAAAAAGGCACAGAAACGCTTCTTTAGATGCAGGGAGCTGGGAGCAGCCTACAGAGTTGAGACAAAGGGGGAAAGAGATTCTACAGATTCCAAAAGAAAAACTGGCTGTCATTTTCAATAGAGGTTGGTTCTCCTGAGAAATGACCTCCTATTCTCACGTGAGTTCCCCAAGAAGGTTCCTGCCAAGCCCAGCTTTATCGAATGTGAAAACCCGGAGCGGTCTCGCCGCTTGCTCAAAAGGGCTTTGTTTTGGAGCTTGGCCTGGGAGACAGTGCTGCTTTCTAAGTTTGACAGCACTAGAAATCTTTGTCCCCTAACGCCAGGACCCTGAGTTTGTTTTTCTCTGAACTGAATCTCTTAGGACTAGGGTTCTGTATCACTGGATTATGTTTCTAACTCTTTTTTTTCTTTCTCTTTTTCTTTTTCTTTTTTTTTTTTTTGAGACAGAGTCTTGCTCTGTTGCCCAGGCTGGAGTGCAGTGGTGTGATCTTGGCTCGCTACAACCTCTGCCTCCCAGGTTCAAGCGATTCTGCTGCCTCAGCTTCCCGAGTAGCTGGGACTACAGGTGCGTGCCGCCACGCCCAGCTAATTTTTGTATTTTTAATAGAGACGGGGTTTCACCATGTTGGCCAGGATGATCTTGATCTCTTGACCTCGTGACCTGCCCGCCTCGGCCTCCCGCAGTGCTGGGATTACAGGCGTGAGCCACCATGACTGGCCTGTTTCTAACTTTTTATTTTTAAAAAGTATACCCATGAATTTCTAGACATTAAACACACCTATGTCACCAGCACCCAGTTGGGCAAGAAACAATACTACCAAACCCTCCCAGTTGTTACACTCAAGATAGTCACTGTCGCAACCCCACCGCTGTCTGCTTTAGAACTTTATCTAAATGGGATCCGAGGTTGGGTACACTCCTGTGTGGTTTCTTTTGCACGACATTGTGCCTGTGAGCCTCACCCGTGTTGCTGCTTTAGTTTATAGTGGTAGATTGTGTATTCCAGCATGTTGGCGTCTTCCCACTGTGTGACCACACTGTTCACCTGTCTGCCCTAAGGCGTGTTGCTCAGCCAGGCATAGTGGCTCACGCCTGGAATCCCAGCACCTTGGGAGGCCGAGGCAGGAGGATCTCATAAGCTCAGGAGTTTGAGACCAGCTTGGACAACATGGCTAAACCCCATCTCTACAAAAGATACAAAAATTAGTCGGGCCTGGTGGCATACACCTGTAGTCCCAGCTCTTCAGGAGGCTGAGGTGGGAGGCTCACTTGAGCCCAGGAGGTAGAGGTTGCAGTGAGCTATGATCGCACCACTGTACTCCAACCTAAGTGACAGAGCAAGACCCTGTCTCAAAAAAAAAAAGTGTTGTTCCATGTTAATGCTAAATTCTTTTTCCACATCTAATACCCTATACCTGCTGCCTCCTCCCAGGTATAAGCCCCTGACAACCTGAGTTTCTCCCTCTGCTCGGCCTTGCATTTGATTAAGGCACTAAAATAGGAAATAGGGAAATGAACAGGACTCATATCATCAGAGAATGCTGTAGGTTGGAGCTTCTAAGTTACCTGAAATGGGGAAACTTTGTTACCAATGTCCCTTTAAAATTGATACATTGGCCAGGCGCAGTGGCTCATGCCTGGAATCCTAGAACTTTGAGAGGCTGAGGTGGGTGGATCACTTGAGGTCAGGAGTTCGAGACCAACCTGGCCAACATGGTGAAACCCCGTCTCTACTGAAATAAAGAAATATATGTATGCTGGGAGCAGTGGCTCATGCCCGTAATCCCAGCACCTTGGGAGGCCGAGGCAGGCAGATCACCTGAGGTCAGGAGTTAAAGACCAGCCTGGCCAAAATGGCAAAACCCTGTCTCTGCTAAAAATACAAAATTAGCCAGGCATGGTGGTATATGCCGGTAGTCCTAGCTACTCAGGAGGCTGAGGCAGGAGAATCGCCTGAACCTGGGAGGCGGAGGTTGCAGTGAGCCGAGATCACACCATTGCACTCCAGCCTGGGCAACAAGAGTGAAACTCTGTCTAAAAAAAAATTTTAAATTAGCCGGGTGTGTCACGTGCTTGTAATACTAGCTACTTGAGAGGCTGAGGCAGGAGAATCGTTTGAACTCGGGAGGTGGAGGTTGCAGTGAGCTGAGATCGAGCCACTGCACTCCAGCCTGGGAAACAGAGGGAGTCTCTGTATCCCCCCCCCAAAAAAAATAAAAATAAAAAAAAAAGGAAATCATGTGCCTTTGTTTTTGGAAAGTTGTCATCTATGCAGCTGTGCTAAAACACCAGAAGCAGATTGCAGCTGATTGTACCCGGGTGCAGCATCATTCCAGCCCACTTAGAACAGAAACCCAGTTTTGGAAATAACACTGCTCTTGCCCCCTGCCCCAGCTAACTGGAGCTGGTGGCTCCCCGCCGCAGCCATTAACTGGGGCTGTCGCCAGTCCTACCCTCTGGGCTCTTTCCCTTTTTACACTGCAGTCTGGGGTTGTGCGTATCTCCATCTAAGCGTGGTAGGTCAGCACTCTCACCAGCGTGGAGACAGCCAGGGGTCCCGGGTGGCAGATAGCCGCCTCATGCCCTCACTTGCGTCTCTCAGGCCACTAAGCCTGTACTGTGACTTCATCACCAGCCACTGTAGTACTTTTTAATTTCCTTCCTTCAGCTCGTACCCAACAGGGGCCTCCGTCAGTGTCTGTAGAAGCACAGACCATTCCTGCATAATTAGAAGCTGAGACCTGGCATGCTGGCTTATACCTGGAATCCCAGCACATTGGGAGCCTGAGGCAGGAGGATTGTTTGAACTCAGGAGCTCAAGACCAGCCTGGGCAATGTAGTAAGATCCCATTTCTACAAAAAATAAAAGTAAAAAATAGCTGGACGTGGCGGCACACACCTGTAGTCCCAGCTGCCAAGGAGGCTGAAGCGGAGGGATTGCTTGAGACTAGGAGTTTTTTTGTTTTGTTTTGTTTTGTTTTGTTTTGTTTTGTTTTTGAGATAGCGTTTTGCTCTTGTTGCCCAGGCTGGAGTGCAATGGCTCATTGCAACCTCCGCCTCTGGAATTCAAGCGATTCTTCTGCCTCAGCCTCCCGAGTAACTGGAATGACAGGCACCCACCACCACACTCAGCTAATTTTGTATTTTTGGTAGAGACGGGGTTTCACCATGTTGGTCAGGCTAGTCTCGAACTCCTAACCTCAGGTGACCCGCCCATCCCAGCCTCCCAAAGTGCTGGGATTCCAGGCATGACCACCATGCCCGGCCAAGCCTAGGATGCAGTGATCTCTGATCTACTGTTGCATGCCAGCCTGGGCAACAGAGCAAGACCCTGTTTCTAAAAATGAGAAAGACTTTGAAAGCCCAGTATAGGCCAGCCTGGCTCTCTCTGCGAGTATCCACGATAAATAGAGATCTCCATGCATGTGACCTATAAACCAAAAAGCCAGCCTGGAGTGGAAGAGCGGGTCAGCCTGGCCCTCTGAACTCGGAAGGAAATGCCAGGTCGTATCTGTGTGGCATCCTCCACAGGTTGTGAGAACGTGGCCTGCTCCTGTAACATGGACGGGGACGTTGCTGTTTGAATTGACTGGACGTGGAAATAACCACAGGGAAATAAAGTGTCTCAATGACAAATGCATGCATGGCAACAAAAAGAAGATTCAAAAGGGAAGAAAAAAATAAAACCCACTGCTGTAGGACACATGCTAAGAAGTAACTTTTAAGAATTCAGAGCCTGGGCAGCTTAGGGAGACCCTGTCCCTCCAAATTATAAAAATCAGATGGGCGTGGTAGTGTGTGCCTGTAGTCCTAGTTACTCAGGAGGCTAAGGCAGAAGAATCACTTGAGCCCAGGAGGTCAAGGGCAACATAGTGAGACCTCGTCTCTACAAAAAATTTTTTTGATTAGCCAGGCGTGGTGGCACACACCTGTAGTCCCAGCTATTCAGGAGGCTGAGGTGGGGGAATCACCTGAGCCCAGGGGGTCCAGGGTGCAGTGAGCTGTGATCGTGCCACTGCACTCCAGCCTGGGCAACAGAGTGAGACCCCATCTCAAATAAATAAATAAATAAATAAGTTGAACCACATAGTTACTAATACCTAATAGCCCTCGGTCAATTTTCCTCCTCCCACCACACTTCCCGTCTTCAGGCTTAGTGCCCAGCCAGTTCTTTACCTCAGTCACCCTGGAATAGACTGGCTATCTATCTATGTGATAGTTTTCAGTTATCTGTTTCTCCCTATGTTGAATTAATTAATTAATTAATTAATTAATTAATTTAGAGACAGGATTTGTTTTTGTTGCCCAGGCTGGAGTACAGTGGTGCAATCATGACTCACTGCAGCCTCAAGCTCCTGGGCTTGAGCGATCCTTCTGCCTCAGCCTCCTGAGTAGCTGGGTCTACAGACAAATGCCACCATGCCCGGCTCATTTTAAAATATTTTGTAAAGACAGGAATCTCGCTATGTTGCCCAGGTGGGTCTTGAACTTCCTGGCCTCAAGCGATTCTCCCATCTCAACCTCACAAAGTGTTGAGATCACAGGCAGGAGCCACCATTCCTGGCTTGAATTGTTGTCTTGTTTGGTTTTGGGTTTTTGTTTGTTTGTTTGTTTGTTTTTTGGTTTGTTTGTTGTTTGTTTGTTTTGGTTTTTGGTTTTTCGTTTTTGAGATGGAGTTCTTGCTCTGTCTCCCAGGCTGGAGTGTAGTGGTGTGATCTCTGCTCACTGCAACCTCCACCTCCTGGGTTCAAGCAATTCTCCTGCCTCAGCTTCCTGAGTAGCCGGGATTACAGGCACACGCCACCATGCCTGGCTAAATTTTGTATTTTTAGTAGGACGAGGTTTCACCATGTTGGCCAGGCTGGTCTCAAACCCCGAGCCGGGCACGGTGGCTCACGCCTGTAATCCCAGCACTTTGGGAGGTCAAGGCGGGCGGATCACGAGGTCAGGAGATTGAGACCATCCTGGCTAACACAGTGAAACCCCATCTCTACTAAAAATACAAAAAAATTAGCGGGGCGTGGTGGCCGGCGACTGTAGTCCCAGCTACTCAAGAGGCTGAGGCAGGAGAATGGCGTGAACCCAGGAGGCGGAGTGAGCTTGCAGTGAACCGAGATTGCACTACTGCACTGCAGCCTGGGTGACAGAGCGAGACTCCGTCTCAAAAAAAAAAAAAAAAAGAAAGAAAAAGAAAGAAAGAAACACCTGTACTTCCTGCAGTGCCCTCTGATGCAGCATTTTATTTCCTGTTTTCTTCAATTTCATTTTGTTGAAAATACTGGTCAGGACCCACTGGGTTGGACCAGGGCTGAGCAGGCTGCTGTGCCGTTTCTCATGTGTCTTCTCTGGCCAGGTATACCGCTGGGCCGACCACTCAAGCACGGTGCTGCAGCGGCTGAACGAGCAGCGACTCCGCGGCCTCTTCTGCGACATTGTCCTGGTGGCCGATGAGCAGCGTGTGCCAGCCCACCGCAACCTGCTGGCCGTGTGCAGCGACTACTTCAACTCCATGTTCACCATTGGCATGCGGGAAGCTTTCCAGAAGGAGGTGGAGCTGATCGGCGCCTCCTACATCGGGCTCAAGGCCGTGGTGGACTTCCTGTACGGCGGGGAGCTGGTGCTGGATGGCGGCAACATTGACTACGTCCTGGAGACGGCCCACCTTCTGCAGATCTGGACGGTGGTAGACTTCTGCTGTGAGTACCTGGAGCAGGAGGTGAGCGAGGACAACTACCTGTACCTGCAGGAGCTGGCCTCCATCTACAGCCTCAAGCGGCTTGACGCCTTCATCGATGGCTTCATCCTGAACCACTTCGGCACACTGTCCTTCACGCCCGACTTCCTGCAGAACGTCTCCATGCAGAAGCTGTGTGTCTACCTGAGCAGCAGCGAGGTGCAGCGGGAGTGTGAGCACGACCTCCTGCAGGCCGCCCTGCAGTGGCTGACGCAGCAGCCCGAGCGCGAGGCCCACGCCCGCCAGGTGCTGGAGAACATCCACTTCCCGCTCATCCCCAAGAACGACCTGCTGCACCGCGTCAAGCCAGCCGTGTGCTCGCTGCTGCCCAAGGAGGCCAACTGCGAGGGCTTCATCGAGGAGGCCGTGCGCTACCACAACAACCTGGCGGCCCAGCCCGTCATGCAGACCAAGCGCACGGCGCTGCGCACCAACCAGGAGCGCCTGCTGTTCGTGGGCGGCGAGGTCTCCGAGCGGTGTCTGGAGCTCAGTGACGACACCTGCTACCTGGACGCCAAGAGCGAGCAGTGGGTCAAAGAGACGCCGCTGCCCGCCCGGCGGAGCCACCACTGTGTGGCGGTGCTGGGGGGCTTCATCTTCATCGCCGGCGGCAGCTTCTCACGGGACAACGGAGGGGACGCGGCCTCCAATCTTCTTTATAGGTATGACCCCCGCTGTAAACAGTGGATCAAGGTGAGATTAAAGCCGGATTATTTCTTTTCTCTTGAGGACTCTCTCGGTTTCCTTAACCTAGCCTTGACTTTCCTTACCTCTCTGGGGCCTTGACAGCCACTATCCTGCTTCTGAATGAGGTGTGACGATAAAGTGGCGAGCAGCATACCGTGGGCCTACACCCTGGACAGGGAGAGGGAGAGCTGACCCACCCCCTTCGAGGGGTCCGTCGTGGTTCAGAGCTGCGCTGCCTGGTGGGGCTTTCTGTGCAGATGGAAGGGTCTGTGTCTGTACTTCCCCATATGGTAGCCACAGCCACATGTGGCGACTGAGCGCTTGAAATGTGGCCAGTGCGACTGAAGAAGCCAATTTTCAATTTCATTTCACTTTACCTGATTGGTGTGCAAGTGTGTGTGGCCACACGAGGCGTGGCTACTCTGTTGGACAGTAGCATGGGTCTAGATGTTTGATCCGTGGTTCAAGGTCCCCGGGTCCTGGAGTCTCTGGGGGGCTCCTCTGGAAGCATTTTGGGAGATAGTTTAAGGAGGCCACCAGGGCTCACACCTGGCCCTTGGGCATGCATTGTGGCCTGATTCTGGGAAGAGCGTGGGCCTTGACGTCAGACCTGAGGTCTCATCCCAGCCTGGCTAAGTCATAGCTAGGATATTTTAGATTCTTGTCCTCTCCACATTTTGGATTCCCCTTCTGGGAATACATGGGGGACAGGGAGTGCAGTAGCTCATGTTGATTGGCAAGCCCCTGGCATAGGGAAGGTGTCTCCTTTCTGCTGGGAGCACTCTCCAGCCACCCGCTCCCCCCGGGACAGTCGTGTCAGCCTTTATTCTCACACCTCAGCGTCGCGCCCAACTCAGTGCTGTTCTTAGCTCAAAACACAGTCAGAATGGACTCCAGCTGACCTTTTGATTTTACTCTCAGAAATCTGAGACCGCCCTCCAAGGTCGAAGTCTCACCACTGGACAGGGTCCCTGGCTTTGGACCCTCCTCCCTGAGGCCTGGCAGCAGCGGCGGCCTGAACCTCGCCTCCCGCGGGAACTTGTTCTTGCTCCCTGTGTGTTTGGCTTGGATTCGTTTAAAAAAAAAAAAGTTTCTACTTTTATTTATTTATTTATTTTTGAGATAGAGTTGTTCCGTTGCCCAGGCTGGAGTGCAGTGGCACAGTCGGCTCATTGCAACCTCCGCCTCCCAGGTTCAAACAATTTTGGTGCTTCAACCTACCTAGTAGCTGGAATTACAACCTACCACCACGCCTGCCTAATTTTTATATTTTTAGTAGAGACAGGGTTTCACCCTGTTGGCCAGGCTGGTCTCGAACTCTGTGACCTCAGGTGATCCATCCACCTCGGCCTCCCAAAGTGCCGGAATTACAGGTGTGAGCCACTGCACCTGGCCTCTTCTGTTTAATTTCCTGTGGAATGCCACATCCTGCTCTGTTAACACAGAGTGGCAGAGCAGCACTAACTTTACAGATCTGATGCCGGGAGGGGAAAGATGAATTTTTATTTCAGAAAGCCACTAGATCAGCAATTCTGACCCGTGACCCACAGAGTTCCCGTCCACGAGGCTGACCATATGACCAGACAAGTGTGGGGGTTCAGAGCGTCTCCATCCCACTTTTGGGGATTCAGAGCATCTTGGGGAAACCTCAGGGGCTCAGAGCTCCCACCTGAAGAAGCCCCCTTTGTTCAAGTGCAGTTCCCTTTCCCAAACATTCTCCGGGACTGTGTGTTCCGCAGACACATTTGGGAAACGCAGCGCCAGATGTTGATGCTGTCCCGGGTTGGGGGAAGGGAAGGTACAGGTATCTCACCTCCACAGGTGGCCTCCATGAACCAGCGCCGTGTGGATTTCTACCTTGCTTCCATCGAAGACATGCTGGTGGCCGTCGGCGGCCGGAATGAGAACGGAGCGCTCTCTTCGGTAGAGACGTACAGTCCGAAGACCGACTCCTGGTCCTATGTGGCGGGCTTGCCAAGGTGATCTGGGGCTTGGTGGAAGGCTCTCCAAATGGGATGTTTTTATGGGACATAGTTCAGTCCACGTGCCTCACTTTCTGGGCATGTCGGCCTCCAATTCCAGGAGCGAAATCTTCTGGCTTGTCAGGAAGAGTGGGTACACTGTGAGGGGCAGAGGGTGTGGTGGAACACAGTCCGAGCTCCGGTTCCAGACTTAGGGCAAGGGTCAGCTCTGCCGCCACGACGGACATCCCTCCGTGGCTGAGTCTGTGCAGTCGCTGAGCTTCAGAGGGTGAGGGCCTGACCTGAGGATCTCCCTGAGCTTGGGCAAGAGGAGCTCGAAGAGATGGGGGTATCTGCTAGATCTAAGCCGCAAGCACGGGTCTTCACCCCGCTCAGCCTTTAGTTCCTCATCTGTAGAGGGAGACGATAATCGTACCCACCTCACAGCACTGTTTGCAGAGCCGATGCGGTGCTGCTCGGAAAACCTGCGCCCGCATGCAGGGAGTGCCCCAGGGTGGCTGCCTCACCCTCCTCAGTCTCGCCTGCCTTCCGGTGTGCATGTATCGAGCATTTATTATCTCCAGGGGATTAGCAGAAGGTGCACACCATTTTTTCCACCAGCTCCCTGTTGCCACCCCCAGCAGTGCACTTTCTGAACCAGTCTTTGCTGTGGAATACATCCAGGTGTCCCCAAGAGTTAGAAGTGTGCGGGGTAAGCGCTCGCGTTTTTGTTTTTCTAAGACGGAGTCTCTCTCTGTCGCCCAGACTGGAGTGCAGTGGCACAGTCTCGACTCACTGCAATCTCCGCCTCCTGAGCTCAAGCAATTCTCCTGCCTCAGCCTCCTGAGTAGCTAGGACTGCAGGCGCCCGCCACCACGCTGAGCTAATTTTTGTATTTTTAGCAGAGACAGGGTTTCGCCATGTTCGCCAGGCTGGTCTCGAACTCCTGGCCTCAAGTGATCCACCTGCCTAGGCCTCACAAAGCGCTGGGATTGCAGGCGTGAGCCACTGCACCTGGCCATATTGATCCTTTCTTATTCACTAAAGGCCCTGGTTTATATCAGGGTTCCCACTTCCTGGCACAGTTCTGTGGATTTTGAGGAACACAAAGCAACATGAATCCACCATTACAGCCTCACGCAGAATCATTTCACTGCCCTAAACCCCCTCTGTGCGCGCCCTGTCCATCCGTCCCTCCCCTCTCCCCACAGCCCCTGGCAGCCACTGATTTTGCTGTCTCTATGGTTTTAAGCAAAACTTTTCCTGAGTGCCAGCGCAGTTAGAATTGGACTGTATGTCGTTATTCCTCTTTGATGTGCGATTCATTGGGTGCGTGTGTGCCTGCTGGCTCATTGCTCTAGTCATTTCCAGCCATTGTGAAAGGGGTGATGGTCCTATGATTATTCCCATTTCCCAGATGGGGCAAGGGAGATTCAGAGAGAGTGGAGCTGGGTTCTGGCCCAGGCGGCCTGACTGCAAAGCTGTCCGCTTCCCCGCCCTGCCCGCCATTTCTTTGCTAATGACGTCTGCTGTCTATAGAGTGTTCGTGGGGTGCCCACTGCCTGTGTTCTTAAATCCTCATGGCTCCCTAAGACGGCAGGCTGTTCCCTGGCTCGGGGAGGGTAAGCCTGGCACAGCCCTGAGCTCGCTCTCTGTCTCCGCCCATCGACCCTGCAGGTTCACGTACGGCCACGCGGGCACCATCTACAAAGACTTCGTGTACATCTCTGGGGGCCACGACTACCAAATCGGCCCCTACCGCAAGAACCTGCTGTGCTACGACCACCGGACAGACGTGTGGGAGGAGCGGCGGCCCATGACCACGGCGCGCGGCTGGCACAGCATGTGCAGCCTGGGCGACAGCATCTACTCCATCGGGGGCAGCGACGACAACATTGAGTCCATGGAGCGCTTCGACGTGCTGGGCGTGGAGGCCTACAGCCCACAGTGCAACCAGTGGACCCGCGTGGCGCCGCTGCTGCACGCCAACAGCGAGTCGGGCGTGGCGGTGTGGGAGGGCCGCATCTACATCCTGGGCGGCTACAGCTGGGAGAACACCGCCTTCTCCAAGACCGTGCAGGTGTACGACCGAGAGACCGACAAGTGGAGCAGGGGCGTCGACCTGCCCAAGGCCATCGCTGGCGGGTCCGCCTGTGTCTGCGCCCTGGAGCCGAGGCCAGAGGACAAAAAGAAGAAAGGCAAAGGCAAGAGGCACCAGGACCGGGGCCAGTGACCCCAGCTGCGCCTCCTGGGACCATCCTCACCATCATATCCCAGGGCTCTGTAGACCAGCAGCAACTTCTTAGTATTCCGGAAACATTATGTACAACTTAGCAGCTTTTTTTACTTTTATGATTCTTGGTATTTCTATGATATCACAGTAACCAATTAAATACTCTCTGTAACTTTACATATCTTGCTCGAATAACTAACCCAGGCAGTGAGCAACCCCTTGTTATCTTTGCAGGTCTTTGCCCCATGTTACAATTCCTCATGGGTCCTTGCTAACCGTCTCCCTGAGAGTAGCTGGCATGGGGGTTACACAGAAATTTCTGTAGTGAAGCTTGGGGCCTCAAAGGGATCTCTTAGATCACCTAGTCCAAGCCTCCCCAAACCTGGCTGAGCTTTTAAGAATACAGATTCCTGAGCCCCGCTCAGAATTATGGAATCCAAAACCACCAGGAACGGGGATGAGGCGGTGCCCAGAAACTGTATTTTAACTGGTTCTTGGAATTCTGGGCTTCAGCCACATCTGGGAATGACTGGCAAGGTCGAATGTGTTTGTTTTATAAATGACTGCACAGACACCCCCACGAGGGTGAATGAGTCAGTGACCAGGGGCCACGCAGCTCGCTGGACTGTCAGGTGAGACGTGGTGACTTCCTACCGGGGAGCTGATCTCCGTATCCGGTGAACGTTGTTTCTGAATAATTCCATCTTTCCTCATTGGACACCTTCTTGAATTGTAAAACGTTACAGGTAACCAAGAACGAAAAAAGGTGTGAAGCTCGTTATGAATATTTTTCTGTAATTTGTGCATTTTTTTTCCTTTTCTTTTCTGAACCCACTGTCTTTTATATTACTGATGTACTGAGCTCCCAAATCTGTTTATTTATCAGGAAAGAAAAAGCGAGTGCTATGGAATTTGCCGTTGTTCTCTATGACTCTATCTTGAGGAGCTGTTGAAAGCTCCTGCTCAGAGGACAACGTGTGGATCCCTGAGAAGGCAGTGGAGGTCTCCCTGACTCCCACGCCAGGTCCTGCCCCAGTTTTCTGCTTCTAAGGAGTTTTGTGCTGCTGGGAAAATTCTCGAACAAATCCATGTGTTCCCTCATCCCCCCTCCCCCCAGCTTTAGCCACAGGGTTAGATGGAATACCCTCCAGGCTCCTCCCGGGTGATAGGGCCATTCAGCCTCTGAGCTGTTCATACCTGGATGGCATCCCCTTCAGGATGCGGAGCTGGCCTGCACTGACTCCTGCAAACAGTTCCTCGAGCAGGTATCAGGGTCGCTTGCCCTTTAAGAGGGCTCCTAGCTGCTTGAGCGGATGAGAAATGCGCAGAACTATGGGAGGATAGGAGTGTGATGGGCTTTAAGCATGAGCCAAGGAAGGCATGAATGAGCTGTACCTCACCCAAGATCTGACGGCAGAGATCAGTAAACTTCACGATGTGCTTCATCTCAAACCCTAGTCTAACGCCAGTCTTCCTGCAGACAGTTCCGAGAGCAGGTCTCGACGTCGCTTGCCCTTTAAGAGGGCTCTCGGCTGCTCGAGTGGGTGAGGATCAGTGTGTGAAGATTGATATTAGACTAGGAAAACAAACCTTAGTTAACTTTTATTTTCATTTCTGCTGCTGCTTTGCTGCACCTCCTTTCTCTTCCCTTCAGGGTTTACTGTGGTTCTCACTGGTCTGTTTCTGTAGCCTTCCAGGAGAGAGGAGAGCATTTTGGGGACTGAAAGCTTCAAGTTCCTGCCAAGGAACTGGTTCCTGCCCTCGTGGTTGGTGAGGAGGGTAGTCTGCATATTTAGCTAGCTAGTTATTTGCATGTGAAGTCCCCAGAGGCTTACAGACTGTTGAGAGGTTCTGCAAGGCATGCAAACAAACAGACCAACAGGCTGGAAAGTTCTTGGAGCTCTGCAGCATTCCGGTGTGTGAAAGGCTCTGAGAAGTCTCAACCCAGCATTTCCAAACTTCTTTGAGCCTAAAACTCTTTTCTCTCATACCTGGTCCCAGACCCCCACAAAACATGTTTTGCAGAACTTCTGCCAACTTTGGGATAGCTTACCCCCTTCCTATTCTGGGAAAGGTTTTATTGCTTGCAGACCCCTCAGAAGCTAGCGTGTGGTGTATGTGGGCTGTTTTCCCCAGCTCAGCCTGGGTCATGAACAAACGGGCAGTTTGGCCTGAATCTTGGGGCAGGTTGGGGAGAGCACATAGACTCTGTGATTTGGGGAGTGGGAGAGCTTTGACCTTGGGGAGAGGAGAGCCATTGGTTTTTAGCCTAAGCCGGCTCTTTTACGTTTTGCTTCTGGGACTTGTCCCTGGAAATGTGTGAGCTTCTGGCCTCAGTTCTGATTTTCTTGTGCCTCGTGAGTTACATACGACATCCTGCGCCTAATATTTTGTGATGTGTCTCCCGATACTATTAAGGTGGTTTTGTAATTTGCGTGGCTTAAAATCTAATGTTACTAAGGTTGGGAGCACTCCTTTGAAGGGAGGATAAACAAGTTTCATCTTGTGAGCCAATTTCTAATATTTGATGGTGGCTACACTGTGACAAGAAAGGTTTTGAGCTTGTTTGGGGTCAATGGATGGGCACAAGAGTGCCCAGTGGCGGTACCTGGGCCAGGTTTTTGTTACTTGTCTTTTTAAGTTGAAAATTCACCCTTCTGTGCAGTCTAACTGAAAATGAAAGAGACCACGCCTGGGCAACATGGCAAAAACCCATCTCTACAAAAAAACTACAAAAGATTAGCCAGGGATGGTGGGGCATGCAGTAGTCCCAGCTACTTGGGAGGCTGAGGTGGGAGAATCACCTGAGCCTGGGAGGTTGAGGCTGCAGTGAGCTATGGTCACACCACTGCACTCTAACCTGGGTGACAGAGTGAGACCCTGTCTCAAAAGAAAAAAATGGTTTTTAACTCAAATGGGCAGAGTTTAGGCTGTACCTATGCGGTGGCCATTTGAACCTCACAACAGTGGGGTTTTAAACTAGTGACAAAGGCACAGGTGCTTGCAGGCTGCCATGTTGAGATGGAAACGGCCATATGTGTCATCATGTTAAACTGACAAGTGTTTCAAGCTGTTCTGCTGGAATTTTGAAGACACCTGGATCTTTTTTTTTTTTTCAATATTTCAAAATAAGCATGGCAGGCTTCTATTGAGGTTTGAACTTTTCTCATTTCTAAAGAATTAGAGTTGTAACTTCGTGTTAGTTGTAAGTTTGGAGTTTGGTCGTCACCCAAGTTGGAAAGCTGTTTGCTTAAGACATAACTGTATTATAATAATAGAAGGGAGGGAGTAGAAAGCTGATGAACCCTTGTTGCTTATAGCAAACTTCCTGCTGTTTAAAATGCACAGAGATTATTTTATCAACTGACTGTACTTAGCACGCAATTGGTATTTTCATTGTTCTACCATTTTATTGAGGCTATCAAGTGGGACTTCAGACCTTGCTCTGAGCAGAACCACATGTGTATTTATACCTACGGGATATTCAGCTTTGAGATGGGCACCCAAATGCTGAGGGGAAGTGGGGTCCATCCTCTGAGGTCCAGGGTCCTACTTCGTGAGCTCAGGTGTGTTCACCTGTGGTTCAGTGTACCTCGACCCCTAAGCCAAGTGATCGTTCAGTGACTTGCAGCAATGTGGGAAGTGAGGGGACCCCTGCCATACCCCCCAACATCCGCTGTAGAGCACCGACCTTCATCCCTCACCCTGGTCCTCCATGGTGCAGCAGCATCTCATGGGCCTTGCGGCTCTCAGAGCTCGTGGTTGGAACCCTGTCCACTTGTCCCAAACCTGGAGGGGCAGCTGCAGATAAGGTTTGGATCCCCTGGTGTCTCTGTGGATTCTGAGTGCCCGGGAGGGGAGGGGAGGGGGGAAGGTGGCATCCTGGCCTCCAGGATAAATGCCTGGAATATACGGCGGCGCCACGGGCACTTGGAGACCCTGTCCTGCGCATCTGCCAAGCCTGGCAATTTTTAGAGTTTTTTGAAATGTTTTGATACTTTTTGATACAATTTGCTAATAACTGTTTTATAGAATGCCTGACGGGGGTTTTCCACCTCATCCCCTTCCTCCGGCCCCTTGATTTGTGCTGGACAACAGATGGCCAGTGGTCAGCACCAGGACCTCGCCTCGTGTGGCTTTGTCTTGGATCTTGCCCTTCTCCGTCACTGATGCGATGCAGCTCTAGAATTTCGTGAAGCTGCATGCAAAGTTGCACGCAGCCCATGGGTATGACTGTCTCAGGCCCCCAGCTGATTTGCCAAGAGGAAACCTTAATTCCCTTGAGAGGGTCTGCTTCTTCCAGAGCTCCTACCTCAGTGGTGTGCACAGAGTTGGAGAGACACCTGAGGGCCGGTCCACGTCTCACCTTTGCCATACGGGTCATTTCTTGATCAAATATATGACTGGGGTCCTGGTTTACTCCCGTCCACCCTTTCTTTTAAAGTATTCTTAACATGAAATCCACAAAAGCAGAAACAATGAACCATTCTTGCACTTTACAGAATCATTGTCCTTAGCTTTAGAGGTTGTTAATTTTTGTTGTTTTTAACATGAATAGAATGTGTGGTTCTGAAGGTGTGTGGGGGTCTCAAGAAATTGTCCTTTGGGGCTGGGCGCGGTGGCTCACACCTGTAATCCCAGCACTTTGGGAGGCCGAGGGGGGCGGATCACCTGAGGCCAAGAGTTCGAGACCATCCTGACCAACATCGTGAAACCCCGTCTGTCCTAAAATACAAAAATTAGACAGTCGTGGTCGCCTGTAATCTCAGCTCTTCAGGAGGCTGAGGCAGGAGAATCACTTGAATCCAGGAGGCAGAGGTTGCAGTGAGCCGAGATTGCACCACTGCACTCCAGCCTGGGTGACAGAGTAAGACTCTGTCTCAAAAAAAGAAAAGAAAAGAAATTGTCCTTTGGTTGCCTTAGTTACCAGAGTTGAATGAATGTACATATTTCGGTAGTTGGGGGGGAGGGCAGAGCAGATAACCCCTTCCTTGTCTGTTTCCTTTGAGAAAAGACGCTCCACCTTTTCTCAGTTACTTAAAGCCATCTTTACAGATTGCTTGTAATGTGAGGAAAGAGTCCTGTCCTTTGGATTGATGGAGGTTAAGTCATCAACCACTAGCCCCCTTTCAAAATCAGCGAGATATTTGATGATTAAGTGATTCATTGGGTATGTTCTGGCTACTGACGTTACTGAAATCTGCAATCGTGTATGTTTTTTAATTTGTTGCTTTTGTATTTGTAATTTTATGACATTCGAAGTTTCTGTGTCTTAACTCTTTTTAATTAATTTTCTGCACGTTGCTTTTTTCTCTGTTTTTAATTCCATACAGAGTATTCAATTCTTGAAACACATTAAAATAATTTGCTTGCTAGGGTATGGTTTATTTTATAATTACATTCCTAGTCTTGTGTGGTTATTGTAATGATCTCTGGTCCTAATTTCTCTGCCCGTATGAAAAAGAACCCCTTGCATGTTGATCCTAAATATAATTTGGAAATTAACCAGACTTCCTTTTAGTGTTGTGGGGAGGCTGGGACATTTCAATTCTGCTTTCATTGTGTTTCTAATTACTGTATTTTGCCAGGAATTTCATTCAGATCCTTGATTGCAGCGCTAAGTCCCCGTGACCTGAAATGAAACTATTTGCTTAAATGTGTGTCAACTGGGGTAATTTGATTAGAAAAGAAACACAGAAACCAAGGGAAACAGCTTATGACAAAAGGTGTGCTATCTTTATCAGAAAAAAATGCAATCACTATACTATAAGAACCAGCTCTGTTTTCCTTCGGGCGCTTCCCTGTCTTGCTGGGGTTTTGCAGGGCCACCAGCAGACAAGCCCAGGCACGGCTGTGCACCCTTTCCTTGTCCCTTTGGCAGGTCAGCATCAGGAGGATGCAGGAGGGGTACCTACGCAGCCATAACGCCTGGTAAGGTAACGGTTAGAATTTGCCTCTGAGCCAGTGAGCCCCAAACAGGACCCACTGCCAGGTGCTGACTTCCTCACCTGGATTCTTTCGCATCCGCTTCAGAAGCATCTCAGGTTAGGTTGATAGTCTCCCGATTTTCCAGGTGAAGAATCCTGAGCTCAGGTTAATTACCTTACCCCAACTGAATTGTCTTCCCCAACACCCCCCGCAGCCAGTCAGTCGTTGCCTTGGTTTGGGTTCTCTTCAATGCAGAACCTTAGACAAGGACTTGGACACAGGTAGGGTGGAGAGGTGGTCCCCTGGAAGCCAGAATGCCACGGGAAAGGAGAGAAGGCCCACGAGAAGGTGCTTTATTGCGAAGTAACAAACCCCAAGCCACAGCTCCCAACGATATTTATCACTGCGGATGACTCTGCGGGTTGACTGGGCTTGACTCAGAGGCTCTCCACTGAGGCTCCTGCACGGTCACATGGTCATGGACAGGTAGTGGCTCTTGAAGGCGTGAGTGAGAACACACAGCTCCTCCAGCATCTCCCTCTCCCTTTCTTCTCTCTCCCTCTCTCCCTGCCTTCTCACTTCCCCTTCTCTTCCCCGCCCCCCAATCTCTTTCTCTCTCTTTTTCTCCTTGTTCACTTTGGTCTTGCTCTCTCTGGTCTCTTCACTTGACCTCATCTAGATTTCTTACATGGCAGCCAAAGGCTCCCAGAGCAAACGTGACAGGTGTAATGAGCAGAGGCCACGTGGCTTCTTCCAGCATCTCCTGGGAAGTCAGAGACTCAGGTTTGCTGCATTTCACCCCTTGAGGCCATCAGAAAGACTCCCCCAGGTTCAGGTTGCTGGCCCTGCGAGAGGTGTCAGCTGTGTCTCCTCCCTGACCCTGGAACCCTGTCTGCAAACCACGGGAGGAGCTGGGTGCAATGGCTCGCACCTGTAATTCCAGCACTTGTGGAGATCTAGGTAGGTGGATCACTTGGGCCCAGGAGTTTGAGACCAGCCTGGGTAACACAGGGAGACCTCTGACTCTATTAAAAATATATATATATATTTTTTGAGACAGTCTTGCTGTGTCACCCAGGCTGGAATACAGTGGCAGGATCTCAGTTCACTACAACCTCCACCTCCTGGGTTCAAGCGATTCTCCTGTCTCAGCCTCCTGAGCAGCTGAGATTACAGGCACGTGCCACCACACCCAGCTAATTTTTGTATTTTCTTAGTAGAGATGGGTTTTCGCCATGTTGGCCAGGCTGGTCTTGAACTCCTGACCTCAGGTGATCTGCCCATATCAGCCTCCCAAAGTGTTAAGATTACAGGCATGAGCCACCGCGCCTGGCCCTTTTTTTTTTTTTGAAACGGAGTCTAGCTCTGTCGCCCAGGCTGGAGTGCAGTGGCGCGATCTTGGCTCACTGCAAGCTCCACCTCCCAGGTGATTCTCGTGCCTCAGCTTCCTGAGTTGCTGGGATTACAGGCGCCGACACCACACCTGGCTAATTTTTGTATTTTTAGTAGAAACGGGGTTTCACCATGTTGGCCAGGATGGTGTCAAACTCCTGACCTCAAGTGATCCACCCCCCTCAGCCTCCCAAAGTGCTGGGATTACAGGTGTGAGCCTCAGTGCCCAACCTACGTTGTATACTTTCAGTGTATACAAGTCAGTGGGTTTTAGTACATTCATTTGTGAAATATCTCAAAATACAACCTTTTTAAAAAAGCTCTGCAGGGGAAGAATGTGCAGCAAGTTAGAGGAGCAAAGTGCTGAGAACGTGGTGAGAAATGGGAGCTGGCATATCACAGAAGTCTGTGAGCTCAGGAAGGAGGTGATCTGATTCGTTTTCAAAGGAGAGCTTTGGCAGCTGCTGGGTGTGCGTGTGTGTGTGTTCACGTCTATGAATTTTGACAAATAACCAATTATTCACAGAAATCAAAGCCCATTAATGGATGCATGGATAAACACAATGTGGTCTGTCCATGCAACGGACTATTATCCAGTCCATAATACAGAATTAAATTCTGATCCACGCTACAACATAGATGAACCTTGGAAACGTGATGCTGAGTGAAAGAAGCCAGACACAAAAGGCCACATGATGTATGATTCCATTGCTGTGAACTGTCCAGAATTTGTCAGAACAGGCAAATTCAGAGACAAAGTAGATTCGTGGTTGCTTAGGGCTGGCGTGGGGACGAGGATGGATGGGGAGCAACAGCTCAAGGGCACGGTATTTATCTCTGTGATGATGAAAATGTTCTAAAACTAGGTGATGGTTGCACACATCTGTGACTGTACAAAAAATTGAATCGTACACTGTGGGTGAAATGTATAGTATGAGAATGATATCTCAATAAAGTTGTTTAAAAAGCAATATTTCCCTCCATTCTCGGAATTCTGTGTATTGGTCTCCTAGATAGCTACAGGGTGAGAGGCGGAATTCAACTTCCCTGCTTAGATTCTAAAACTGGGATTAAAACAGTGAGATGAGACTAGAAGGCAACTTTCATCTCAGGTCTGCGTGAGAGCAGAGCTCAGGGCATCCTCTAGGGGGCGCCCTAGAGCAGCAGTCCTGAAAATGTGGTCCCTAGAACAGCAGCTAAGTACCGGTGGGAACTTAGCAATGCAAACTGTCAGGTCCACCCCACACCAGCTGAATCAGCCACTCCTGGGGTGGGGGCCTGGCAATGTGTGTGTTTACAAGCCCTCCCGGTGATTTTTTCTTTCTTTTTCTTTTTCTTTTTGAGATGGAGTCTTGCCCTGTTGCCCAGGCTGGAGTGCAGTGGCATGACTTCTGCTCCCTGCAACCTCCACCTCCCAGGTTCAAGTGATTCTCCTGCTTCAGCCTTCCAAATAGCTGGGATTACAGGTGTGCGCCACCGCGCCCAGCCAATTTTTATATTTTTAGTAGAGACAGGGGATTTCACCAAGTTGGCCAGGCTGGTCTTGAACTCCTGACCTCAAGTGATCCACCCACCTTTGCCTCCCAAAGTGCTGGGATTACAGGTGTGAACCACCTTGCTTGGTCGTCTCCTGGTGATTCTGATGGCTGCTCAAGTCTGAGAACCACTGTTCTCCAAAGGTATCTGTCTCCATTCTCTACCCACAGACCTTCCTAAGCTAGGAGTCCCTGCCCATAGCCAACAGCTGTGCCTGGCTTGCTCTGGCCGAAACCTGAACCATGGGGCTGCTTTCAGATTAAGCACAGCCTGGTCTGAATCTTCTGCCTTGGGAAGCCTGGGAAAGGCCTTGGAGTCAGCCTCTGCAGGGGCATGCACCTGTTGGCTCCCTGAGAAAGTCACCTCCTCTGTGCCCTTCCTGTTGATGGCAGCAGGAAGCCTGGGGTGTGGCCCAACTCTTTAACTAGTCTCTAGCATCCGCTGGCTGTGTGCTCAGAGCATGCTCTGAGCATGGCCTCATGCTCTATTCAGATGGGATCCTTTTACCAGGCATGCTGCAATAGTGTGATTCATGCCCCAGGGGCCCCGGCCCCACTCTTGCAGGCATCCAAAGGTGCTAAAAATATGTAACTCCTAAATGTGGTTCTGTATTTCTGACTGTACCAGTGTTGTGGGCCTTTTTATCCTCCAAGCTGAAATTCAAGAGGCCTGGATTCCAATATAAGGCCCATGATTAATGGGCCTCCAGCAAGGCCTCACTCAGCATCTCCTGTATTTAGATGAGGCCTAAATCAAGTCTCTGTGATGTGGACCGAGCACAGGGCTGTGAGTCAGGGAGTGTGAGTTGTAGCCTTGGCTCTGTCACATGCACCTGGGCCAGGGCTTCATCTCGTTCAATTTCAGTTCCTCACACTACGGGATAAGATGGTTGGAGATTAGTGCTCCTCTGGGTGTGATCTGCAGAGCCCTGGTCCACCAAGCAGCTGCCTGAAGGAGTTTGTGGTAAGGCAACATTTGGGGAGCTCTGGAGATACTTTCCCCCTCTGGGAGACTCACATTAGAGAACACATTCATATTTCTTTTTTGTTTTTTTGTTTTGTTTTGTTTTGTTTTGTTTTGAGATGGAGTCCTGCTCTGTCACTCAGGCTAGAGTGCACTGCAACCTCCGCCTCCTGGGTTCAAGTGATTCTCCTGCCTCAGCCTCCCACGTAGCTGGGACTATAGGTGCCTGCCACCATGCCAGGCTTATTTTTGTATTTTTAGTAAAGACGAGATTTCACCATGTTGGCCAGGCTGGTCTCAAATTCCTGACCTCAAGTGATCAGCCCTCCTCGGCCTCCCAAAGTGCTGGGATTACAGGTGTGAGCCATCGCGCCCTGACCAACACATTTGTATTTCACAGCCTCTAAATGCCCCATCAAAGACACCTATTTCACTTTTCTTAAACCAGGATTTCTCAAGCTTGTTTGGCCCTGGCTCCCTGCCCATGTTTTCCTCTGTCAATGAATACAGAGATTGTGTATCTATGTACATAAAACTCTAGGAAATCAGCCAGGCGCGGTGGCTCACGCCTGTAATCCCAGCACTTTGGGAGGCCAAGGTGGGCAGATTACCTGAGGTTAGGAGTTTGAGAACAGCCTGGCCAACGTGGCGAAACCCCGTCTCTACTAAAGGTACAAAAAAATTAG